GCAACAAGATTGCTAATTTTCCTACATTAGATTGAAGACTTTGTGGATTTGGTAAAATTATATTTCAAGGAGAGCATAATTTTTTATCTTTTTTTAAATTTTTGGGTTTCTATTCCTGTTACACCTGCCCTCATATTAGTGGCACTATCTCGTAATATTAGTTCTCAATAAAAGACTCCAAGGATCACTTTGTTCTACACAAAATAATAATTTCGATTATCTCTGGAACGTCTTTCTTTTTGGGTTGCAAATATCTTTTATGGATAGTCTCAAGGAAGAAGAAGAATAGTTGCAGGTTGCATCGACACAGCTGCTGGGACAATGAACTGTCAAATAAATTTTGGAATTCAAAATTTTGAATGAAAAATTATTGAGATTTGTAAAAATTGTTGAAAAATGCACATCATAACAACCCACGATTTGTGTCGTATAAGAAAACATATAAAAATCTACTCATTTTTGTCGAAATATTTTAAAATGTTTGTCATATCATATGTTTCCAAACGTTGATGCATCTACCTATATTCTTCTACCATAGATAGTCTTAAAAAATCGGGACCGATTTCGATAAAATTTAGGTGAGGTATTTTCGAGTTGTATCTGATGTCCGATATCAAATATCAATGTTGTGGAGTGCATATTACGCATGTGAGGATCTTAAACACCAAATCGGATGAAGCATATATGCATGGGAGCTATAGCATTTTAAAATGTTTGACATATCAATGTTCAATTTCGAGCGTTTTTCCACCTCAGGGGCTGGATTCTTGTTCTATGAAAATATGAAATGGAAAATATTTCCTTAATGAAATTTTTCATTTGACATTACTTCTCTCTGTATAAAAAGTTTTCATTTCACATTTTCATAGAACAAGAATTGAGGGCCAGATCTATGATTTTGATGCCGTCAGCATCAAAGAAATAAAAATTTTGTACTTGTTTTCCATTTTAAATTTTCCATCCCTGCAACCCTTGCATCTGTTGCACTTTTTTGCTTTTTCTTGTTAAAACAACACAATACCACCTCCATTGAAACCACACGAAGAGTAAGAGAGAGGAAGAGTCTCTGAGGTGTGATAAAATCTAATTAGACTCTTCATTAAATTGGCAGCTGGGTATTTATTAAATTAATTAAAATTGTTTTTTCGGTAAAATGGGTAATTTTTATATCTTTTAAAGCGGAGTTGATTCATCTTGCCAAAGCCAAAACATGCATTCAAGCATCACTTACACATTCACCATAACAGCACAACAACAATAACAACACACACACACAAAATACTTCCAAAATAAAAACAACAGCAATAAATTGAAAGCAAGAAGAAAAACTTCAAAACAAACTAAAGAGTTCATTAAACAGTAATTAAAAAAAAAAATTTAGAAAATAGTTTCAAAATTACTTTCATACTTTATTTTGGAATAGTTTTTCTTTTATTTTCATTTAAATATATTTTCAAACATCACTTATTTTTGGGATATTTTTCTTATTCATCAATATTCTTTTTCTTGTTTTGTTTTTATTTTCATGGGATCTCCCACTCACTCATTTCACTCACTTTTTTGCTGCTTGTAATTTTTCATCACACAAAACTTTTATTTATTCCATTTGTATTCAATTTTTTTTCTAAATTTTTAATTTAGTTTTCTCAATTTTCTTTTCAATTTTTTTATAATTTATTTCATATTTTTTTTTTATTTTTTAATCTACAACTATTATTTATGAATACCGCAACGACCGTCAACAAACAAACAAACAAAAAACTGAATAAATTCACCGCGCATCGAACATCGAAACATTCATCCGTATCACCGAACTTCACGAAATGAATCAACATCAGCAACTCGAAACTTGAGCGTATGCTGCTGTCTAGCAGGCTGGTTGGCAGTCGTTGTTCTCTGATGTTTCTCCTTCTGTTTCTGAAACACAACAGTGTTGGGAAACATTGTTTGGTTGGGTACAATTTGTACGAAAATGTACCACTGACAACATTTATGGCTATTGGGATATTGAATGCGAGGAACAATGAGTTTTTGTCTCTAAACTCCGCAGAAGCAGTGAAAAGCATTAGATATCTTTGGGAAATTCACAATTTCGCTCCGGTCTTCAGTGGTATAGAGCATGATTCAAGTATAAAGTCCCCTATCAGGGGCAGCTGATTATCAGGTGATCTGATTAATTTGATATTATGACTCAAATATCAATTTTGATTAAATTATATTTTTTTTTGAATAGGTTTGTAATTTGTTTCGATGTCATAAAGAAAAGATCGGTTATCGTAGTAAAAACTTTAGCATTCCTGGAGTAATGGAAGAGAGCATATATATTTACGATGTATATAGGGCACGCGTGATCGAAAAATAGCAAATGTACACACACATATGATGGGACAATGAACTGTCAAACCAATTTTGGAATTGAAAATTATGAATGAAAAATTATTTAAATTTGTAAAAATTGTTCAAAAACGCATATAATAATAACCTCCGATTAACGTTGTATAAGAAAACATGTAAAAATCTATTTATATGAAAAAAAAACATTTACAAAATTTTGACATATCAATGTTCTCCAGCATTGATGCATCTACCTATATTCTTCTACCATGATATGTACCGTGGTAGAAAAATACAGATAGATGCATCGACACAGTTGCTGCTGACAATGAACTGTCAAACCAATTTTGAATGAGAAATTATTCAAAAATTATGCAGATGTATTTTCGAGCTATATCTGATATCCGGTATCAAATATCATTAATCTGGACTGCATATTACGCATGTGAGGGACTTTAGCACCAAAAGCGGATGAAATAATATGGGAGCTATAGCTACAGGGTGAGATAAAAAACTGCAACAAAGTCAAACCCCATAATTTTTACATTTTTTTTTAATTTTATTGAATGAAAGCCTAAAATGTCGGAAATAGCAACAAATTTTAGAATAAGTTTAGATTTTTTCCAATTGGTTACCTTTGGCACGAATTATGGCCTTTAAACGGCCAATGAAATAGTCACACACTGCCCGAATTATGCTCTGTGGTATTTTGGCCCATTCCCGGCGAAGCGCTTGCTGAGGCGATTGACACTTTGGTATTTTTTTAGTGCCAACCTTGCTTTTCAAAATACTCCAGACACAATAGTCCAAGGCATTGGTATCCGGAGATTTTGGTGGCCATTTTGCGCTAGAAATGAAGCGAGGAACCTCATTTTGTAACCATTCTTGGGAGGCGCATGCTGAGTGCGATGGTCCTGTTGGAATGTTCAAGCTGTGCGGGCAAAATGTTTGCATGCCCAAGGCTTTAATACACACTCCAGAATATTTTCGCGATAATATTCGGCATTTATTCTCACGCCACGGTCGATTAATACGAGCGGAGAGCGACCATCGGCTCTTATGGCGGTCCACACCATTACCATGACCGGCGCTTGAGTTCTGGTAACCAAGCGAAGGTGCACATTTTCAGCTGATCTCTTTGGCAAGTAAACACGATAATTTTGTTTGTTTACAAACTGATGGAAAACGAATATTTTCTCATCGGAGAAAATCAATTTCGGCAGTTCACCACTTTCGGCCAAGCAAAGCAACTCCTTAGCTCATTTAAGTCCATTTTCTTTCTTTTGCGGTGTAAGTTCTTGCACTTTTTGGAATTTTAATGGCTCTACCCCCAGAAAAACCAAGTCAAGTATGACATTAAAAAGGTCCAGTCCTTTGGCAGGACGAGGACGACTACAGTTATGAACACATAGAAGCCTTTTTTGACTGCGTTGTTCGAAATCTAACTAAAGCGATAATAGGAGCTTTACTTTCTGTTTATATTTAGCAGACCCACCGTGCATCCAATTCAAGCGGTAGTGGCGCCCAATTCCACAAAAACACAAACAAATTTACATTGACCCGGGCACAGAAAATTCAACGGAGAGTAAAAAGCTCGTTCCCCTACCACTTTGCCCATAAAATTATATTTTTTTCTTTTGTGCAATGACTTTGTAATTTGGAGAATACTCATGTTGACAAAAATTGCCAAGTGGCAAAGCAGTGATGGTATCATCATTTTAAACTGTACCATATTTCGAGTACCCATCACTTGTAGCAGCACTCACACATTTGGTCGCCACTCAACCAACCTTATGTTTACTAGCAACAACAAAACGAACCCAACATAAGAGCCGCAACAAAAGGTTTGTATACGAAGATGAAGTAAAAAAGAACAACAACACGAATATTTTCAAACTACTGACGTTCGTGCAAAAGAACACCAATAAAGTTGGCTGTGGTGGAGTAAGGGGGTTAGGAGTTAGTTTTTATACATTAACTACAGGATGACCTAGGTTAAGCGATTTGGAATTTTGGAAACCGGTAAAATTATTAATTTCAATATAGAAGTAGCTTGATAAATTTTTATAGCAAATTTAAGATTTTTACAATTTTTTTTTTTTTTTTTTTGGAAAACTTCTGTTTTTTATACAATAATGATTTAAAAAAATATGTCTCGATTCATATTTCAGTATTTACCCAAAGGATTTAATTTTTACACGATGATTTTATAAATTTGTTTGAAACTTCCTGTCAATGTTATCATTTAATTTTGAACAGCGATTAGAACTTTTTTCACTTGACCTTCCTGAAAAAAAGGTCTCTGTTATAAACGTTACTTTTTGTTTATAACCTAAATTTAAATCAAAACTTAACCCATTTTCATTTGGATCCAGAAGCCAGTCTTTGCATACGATGCTTGATTTTTGTCAGTCACTAATACCGAGTTATTGCTAAATATATACTAATACACCAAACATTCTGTGCCAATAACAAATAGATTTATTTCTCAACTGCAAGGTAATTATATTCATTGTGTTACTTCATCCACTAACTAAGCCCTTAATGATAAAACATAATGGTTACCCATTTCTGCATTAGACAAGCAGCTGTTTATTCTAGAAGCCTTTCGAACTACTAGATCCCTAAAGACGTAGTTTTTCGATTTTCTAGAAACCTAATAATCGTTGTTTTGATTTTAATTCGCCGCCGTCGGCCATAAAATCATTCCACTTCGTTCTCTGCTACGCACGTGTTTACCTTTTCACAGTGTAAAGAAGAAAACTACTTTTAATTAAAGAAAACTCAAATTTTCCACGAAACCATGGAAGAAGAGGGACCAGCAGAGGCAACCATCGACTTTGTGCCAGCCCTGTGCTTTGTGCCACGCGGCATTGCCAAAGATAAACCTGACAAAATTGTCTTGACCCAAGAGGAGTTGGCTCGTGTCATTAAGGAGACCAAAGATCGTTTGGACAGCGATGGGGAACATGAAGATGATGACGAAGACGACAATGAAAATGGTATGGATGTAGACGATGAAAATGAAGACGAAGAGGATGATGACCAAAATGAAGCGGACGAAGATGTACGCTCCGATACACGTAGCATTAATGACGAATTCGGTTTCGAACAATACGATGCGGAGGGCAATATTCGCGTGGCTGATATTGGTAACATTGTTGATCCGGATCATCAATTGCCCGATGAAGATGACGATTCCGAGGCGGAAGATGAAATTATTAAGCCCACAGATAACCTGTTGCTGGTGGGTCATGTGCAAGACGATGCTGCCAATATGGAGGTGTGGGTCTTCAATGAGGAGGAAGAAAGTCTGTACACCCATCATGACTTTTTGTTACCCAGCTTCCCCTTGTGCATTGAATGGATGAACCATGATCCGGGCAGTGATAAGCCAGGCAATATGTGTGCCATTGGTTGTATGGATCCAGTGATTACTGTTTGGGATTTGGATATACAAGATTCCATTGAGCCCACGTTTAAATTGGGTTCCAAGGGCAGCCGCAAGAAACAAAAGGAGGCCTATGGCCATAAAGATGCTGTTTTAGACTTGTCCTGGAATCGCCACTATGAACACATTCTGGCCTCGGGCTCGGTTGATCAAACTCTAATACTTTGGGATATGGATGAGGGTCAACCCCATACCACAATAACAGCTTTTGAGGAAAAAGTCCATTCCATTGAATTCCATCCCACTGAGGCCCAAACCATACTGACAGGCAGTGCTGATGGTGTGGTACGTCTCTTCGATTGCCGTGATCCAGAATTTGTTAATGCTTCATATGTTAAATGGACCACACCGGGAGAAGTTGAAAAGGTACTGTGGAATTGTACAGATCCTAATTACTTCATTGTTGGGTCCAATGATGGTTCGCTGCACTATGCTGATAAACGTCAGGCCAACAAACTGTTATGGTCCCACAAGGCCCACGATGAGGAAATCTCAGGCATATGCTTTAACTCGGAAGTTAACAATCTCCTAACTACCACCTCCACAGAGGGTTATTTGAAGATTTGGAATTTCAATGGAACAGAAATCAAACCAGTTTACTCACATGACTTTAAAATGGGCCGTCTGCAGTGCATGAAACAATGTCCCGAAGATCCCTTCACCCTGGCGTTTGGTGGAGAGAAGCCTCCTCGCTGCCGGGTATACAATATTAAGAATTTCGAAGCTGTGCGCCAAGTGTTTGGTGTCGGTGGTGAAGCTCAAGAATAGTAAAAACGCAGGCGTTTCTCTTCCATTATCCTTTCTCCTTTTTTACAAAGCTTTTATATTTGTATACAACACGTATTAAAAATGTTTTTATTTCGATATAGAAAATAAATGTAAACTTAACTAAATGACAAGTTGTTAGCTTTTTTCTTTTACGGAATGGACTAAAACTACTTGTTCTCCCCTGAGTAAAAGTTGTGGCAGGAATCTCCTTATTTCCACAGTTTTGCGATTCAGACTCTTAACTATTTGCTTGGGTAATTTTATTCCCAATTCTCGTAGTCTTTGGGAACAATCTTCACGGTTATCCTCTGAGGTAGGTAAAACAATATTGTCTTCGCAAAATTTATGTTTACGATGGGTATAACATTCCTCAACTTCGGTCAGCAAAAGGTTCCAATGACGATCGTATAACTTGAGAACACCTTCAACATAACCCTTAATTCCCTTTTCCTTTCTCACAACCACATGTATTCGTTCGCCGGAAGCTATGTAACCATTCAAGGCCTTAAGTGGTCCCACCGCATTTAGCATTTGCGTTATGATATTCCTTGTATGTTTGTTTTTAATTTTAGCCTTTGTCTTTATGGCCATTTGATGTTCCTGGAAACGTCGTTGACTCTTCTCCTCTTCCACCACGGTTTTTGTTGCCTCCTTAGAGCCACTGTCTTGTAGTTTATGACTCTTGGGTCTTTTGCCAACATCCCAGATGCCAACCTTTTTCAGGGCCGTTTCAAACGCTGCCATATTTTGATAGATCACCTTTGGTTGTTTTTCAGTTACCCGGAAGTCGGTGGCATAGAGGCAGCGTAGAGGATTGAATCGTTCGCTGGTTATGTCCAATTCATCCAACTGGCTTTCTAATGATGTTGATGGTGGGTTTTCTTCGCTTTTCGTTTTTTGTAGTTCTTTCTCAGGGGGAATAGGTTCAGGTGGTTCAATTGATTCGACATTATCTTTCTTTTCCGATTCAATTTTGTAAAGTTAGATGCAATTTAAAAGTGAGAAATCGCAAATTTTTAGATTTAATCTGCAGTAACCCGCTCTCAATGTTTTCCGTATTACCTCTTCTTCTTCTTGTAATAAGGTACATTCACATGCTATTCACATTTAAATGATGGCATAGTCCTTGATTTTTCTTAACACTGCTGTTTTAGAGAAACAAGACCCTCAATTCCAGATCTAGACTTTAAAAATAAATTTAATCAATGAAAATATTCTATTTATTTTATTTAAAACACAATTAGCTGACGAATTTAATTAATGTTTCTTCATAAAAATTGATATTCCCCCCGGAATGATAACAATGACAGCTATTCGAAAGGCCGGCAATGTTTTCAAGATTGCAAGGTAAAAATGCGTTATAATTGAATTAAATGGCTTAAATCGAACAAAATCTGATTGATTATATTTTTATTTAAAATAAAGTGCTTCCAATTGCAAAATAATTCAAGCTAGCCATTTTCGAGAAATTCCCTTCTTATTGTTATAGAAAATGTTATTCACATTGCAATGATAACACAGTATAAATACCAAACGGTGTAAGATCGGCTTTAATATAATGCTAGCTCTGTTCCCTTACGTGCATGAGTCTGCAATTTACTACATAATATGTGTTGCATAACACAAAATAACAGCACAATTCAATAGAGAGTCGCGTTTTTTATTTCCAAAAATAAAAAAGCAATTGTCCGCACAGAAACGGAATAGCATATGTTAATCGAAAGGGAGTAATTGCATTTCAAGGCGCAAATTAACAAAAGGCAGGTGTAATGTCGGCTTTCACTTAAAGCGTCATGGCGATAGATCAATTTTTGAAACCCATTTGTATACACATGCGGTAAAACAACCAGGAAATCCGTAATGTTTATAAACATAAGCTATTTAACCAATTTACAACAAGTAAAATAAAGGTGCTTGTAAAAATTATTTAATTTTAAAAGCAAAAGCAGAAAAGATTCCATAATTTGTAGATCAGAATAAGAACAAAATTTTCTTTTTTGTAACTTATACAAATGTATTTATTGAATTAAAACACACACAAAATTACAATAAGTAGTATATCAACAAGATAACATCCCCCAAACAACCTTTATAAACAGGGATATATAGATATTTTTTTTTTAAATTTCACCGACCGCAATTTAGCAATCAGTCATGGTGCAACGACGCTTTTTAACGGTACGTTTAGGACATGGCTGGCCTCCATTTTTAGGCTCCGAAATTACATAACGATAACGTTCCGAATAGCCAAGACCACAGCGAACACTACATTCGGACCAATTAGACCATTCCGACATGATGCAACCCTCCGGAATTGAGTCGTCGTTATTGGCAGTGATAATACCAGTATTGTAAGGGCGATATGAGGGAATATTTAAAAGAGGTGCTGGCCGGGAAGTGGTAATTTGTGTTGGCTGATTGTTTGCCAAACGACCGCAGGTATTCATACAATCATTTTCAGTCAAGAAGTTGTTGCGATTGCCACGACAGCCACCATAGGTGAAGGTTTCACAGCGACCAGTATCCTTGTTATAGCCATAGCGCATATAGCTGCCACGACAGGGACCGCTATCAAAACGGCTGGCACAGATTTCTAAAAAATATATATATATATTTTATTTTCTAAAATCATATATTGGCCTCTTTTACATACCCTTGGCCATTTCAAAGTTAATGTTACAATCTTGAGCCAACGTACATTCCTTCTGTTGATTCAGGTCCATGCGTTTGGTGCACTCTTCCTTCACGCTGCCTTCCTCCAGCAACAACACACGTGTACGAATTGTAACACCCTTACCACAGGTGGCAGAGCAAGGACTCCAATCACTCCACTGAGTTGTGGGGCACATGGGATCGGGTAATTCAACTTCCTCGAAGGTACATTCAGGACGCATGCACTTTTGTTTCTCCACCACAGTTATGTGCGGGCAACGTTTACGACCCAAATGATTTAGGAAAGTGCGGGTTCTCATTGTTATACCAATACCACATGAAGCTGAACAATCCGACCAACCACTCCAGGGTGTTGTTTGACAAATACCGGTTCCCTCACCATTTTCATTGACCAAAGAAGAGGAATTTGCCAAATTTTCTCCCTCATCATCATCGTCTTGTTGGGCGCTATAATTGAATCAGTGTTAGAAAGCCATGGAGGTGAGATTTATTTTTAACTACATCTTACCCGCATTCTGGTATGGCGGCAGCACACATTTCCTTGGACACCAATTGTCTGGCACATTTGGCCATTTCAGCCTTTTCGGGATTTACATATTGTCTGGTGCGCATGCGTATACCCTTACCACAGGTAACCGAACAAGGAGCCCAGGGTGAATAATCTGTAACTTGGCACTCGGCTGCAAAGAAAAAATTGAGCCATTAAACATAAAGTTCTAAAGAGTTCCATACTCCAAATCTCACCTCTAGTATCCTGATCCTCGGTATCATCAGACACTTCCAATTGCAAGGCCTGCAAAAAGTCATCATCACAGTTTCTGGAAATAATCTTCTCTCTTCTGAGATACAATTTGGCCAAGGGAACCATTGTCTTTGTCTGGGGATTGTAGAATGGGGCACGTGGATCTTCAGGATACATGGGTGTAATGCGATACATACGCTCACGTGGTTGTGTCTCTAAATTCGGCGACATATATGTTATGCCACTATCGGTACCAGCATCCCAGGGATACAAATCGAAATCCATTGATTCTTTCCACGAACAATCAGCAGTACACAAATCCACGCCGCTAATACCCACAACCCAATCGGGGGAAGGACCAAACATTGAAACCATTGAGACTTTATTGTGTTTGCGATCGACACGGAATGTTGAGGAGGTGTTGGCATTTACATTGGGATACCAAAGACCGGCAGCCTTAATGAGGGTACGCAATCTGGGGCCTTTGGAGCGTAATTCGGCCTCCAAGGCGCTGGGCGAGCCAAATTCAGCCAAAGACTTAAAACCATCGGTGGCAATGTGATTCTCACCCCAGAACGAGAAGTTTGTTTCGTGGGAAGCTCCAATAATATCAGAGAAATGGGTTAGCCATACGGCAAATGGATAGTCTTTGGGATGGGTTTCATTAGACCAAATGCCCTCAAAAACAAACTGGAAAATTTAAGGTAAAATAATTCACAATTGTTATTCCAAAAAATCCATTATTTTTACTTACACTATATTTGGCCTCATCACAGGCACAACACTCCTTTTGTACGGTGGTATGATCCACTTTTCTTTCACAAATAACCTGTGTCAACTGACCATCATCGGAGAACCATGATCGTGGTCCTTCATATACCATTGCGGATAGTGATACACATCCCGAACCAGCTTCGGGCGCCACCCACATTACTTGAATTTCGGTTTTGGGTAAATCATCAGCCTCGGCCACTGTATTGACGCAACGATCACTGAATTTGGTCAACGAATCACTGAACAATTGGAAACGACCGACACGTTGTGGATTAGCGGGAATGGGACGTCTGCCACCGATATGCGCCTCAGCCGTAATGGAAAAATGTGTGAAATGTTGTACTTTCATATGGGTGCGGGAGCCAAGCAGAAGTACTGGAAAAGAAGAAAATAGAAAAATTTTCAGTGTGCAAGGTAAAAGTTGAGACATTTTAAATTAGGAATAAGCTAAGTAAAATAAAATAATAACCATAGAAATTGTTTTTTTTTTCGTTAACCACGTTACCACGTTACCACGCCACATAATATTGTACATAAAAATACATTTTTCCTTCTCTTTTCCATAAACTCAACGTTTTATTTTATCTCAAACATCAAAGTACCGCTAAAATAACTTTTTGGTGAAAAATTGATGTGTTGCCTGGCCACATACAAGAATATGGCAACTCCTTAAACAAATGAGCCATCAAAGCCGTTTTTACACAATTTTTCTTGTTTTTGCATTACTGTAAGCAAACATCTGGCAACACCTAAACAAATAGACGCCTTTTGTTTTTCTTCCTCATTCCTCTACATCTAAAAGCCGCCAAATTTGTCAGAGAAAATATTTAATCAAAAACAATTTTATTGTTAAAACAAAAAAAAATAATTAAGTAATTGTTGTTCTAAAGCGATAACGAGTGGATATTTATATTATCAGACAAAAATTCTGAAGAAGTTACCCACGCGTCAAGGAACAAACAGCAGGTAGGCGCCAAAATTTATTATACTTTCATTTATTTCGAATATTAACATTTCAATCCTTTAACTAAGGATTTTCCTCGATTTTCAGCCAAAAAATGCCTTCGCTGAATCAAACTATTGTCGATGAATCCGAATTCCGGAGTTGTGGAGAAATTATGGTGGCAACAAATGGAAAATTTGCAATGAAATGCCAGTACTGCAATTGCAAGGTCTTCACCAGACTCCAGTCTTTTATGAGGCATATATATCAATCCCATAATGATAGAATTAACTTCCAAGCGAATGCTGATTTTATGGTATATGCAGTAGAAGAGTTAGTCAATCGCACAATGCGTGAAGCGGACGAAAGTGAAGAATCTGGAGTGGCAGAAGACGATTTTAAGTGGTCAGATGATGATGCCGATGATGAGGAAGAAATTGTGGAAAGAAAATCTTCGGCCCTTAAAGCTTTGCTTCAAAAGAACAATAGAGGTGGAAAAAGGGAAGGAGATAAAACTAAGAAAAGTGGACCTTCCTTGGCCAACACTTCAATTTTAAATGCATTGAAAGAATGTGATGTCACATTAAATTTTGAAGACAATCTCGATGAGACATTGAATACAAATAACGGGGAAAGTGCAAAGGGTGCAGCATTGGCAAACATGTCAATATTAAATGCCCTGGAGGATTGCGATGTATCTTTGAATTTCGTTGACAATTTGGATGAGACAATCGTTGAAAAGGACAAAGAGTTGGAGGAGGTAAATAAAAACCATACAAGTGGAAATTCTTCCGATATGACCTCGAACTCTAATACGGATAATGAAGATGACTGCGATATGATGGATAGTACATTGTTGAAATGTATACAAATGGATTTGGAATTGGAAGCAGACAGTCTCGGTGGATCGAAATCGAAGAAAAATAATAAAAAATCTAAAATGGAAACAGTTTCAGAAAAGGAAGAAGACGACAATGAAAAAATGTCCTTTGGAGAAGATGAACTAAATACAACGCTTACAGAAGATAATACCAACGATGAGACGACAAAGAAAAAAGATGGCCTCAAGAACCTTTTGAGTGGTTTAGAAGGCCTGGAAGATGTTGATGATCTATTGGACAATATTGAGGATAGTATATGCCATAGACCAGATAGTGAAACAGATCATGCTGTAACAGAATCGAGAGAAGAGGATGATGGAAACGTGGAAAAAGATGTGGATGTGAAATCTCAAAAACCAAGAAAGTCCATATTGGAGTTAAAATTAATGGCCGATTTGGATATGGATGAAGAAGATTTAGAAGATTGTTTAAACAGCAGCTGTTTGCCTAAGGAGAAAGAAGAAGATGGAACCAATGAGGATATGGCAAAAGAGGAAGCGACTCCCAAAACCGAAAATAAATCCAATGACCAAGAATTGGCATCTGCTAATAATGAGCAGAAACTAACAAAGAAAGTAAAAACCACTCCCACATCTACAAAGAACAAGAGAACCCCATCCACTAGGGAGGGTAATCTCAATAAGGTGGTACATATCACGCCAAAATCTGAAAAGTTGTCAACAACAATTCGACACTCACCACAGCGTAAAAAGTCTCCAGAAACTATTAGAGATGCGCAAGTAACACCAAAATCGAAAAAGGTTAATCTTAAATCACGAAAAATTTCCGTAAGTGACAGGCAATCCCCGTCAAAATTAGACAACTTGGAGACCAAGGATTTATTGGAAACCAAAAAATTTGAAGAAGGTCTAAGTGAAGAGAATTCCTCAACATTGGTTTATACTGAGCGTGACTTACAAACCGTAGGAGAAGGAGGAGAAGATAAAGATTCTGGCGAAGAAGGGCCAACCATAGTAAATGATCTGAAATCTTTGCTTTGCAAAAATTTGGATAATGAAGAAGACTTGGATATGCTCATAAATCAACTGGAGACTTCAGGGACATCAAAAGACTTAGAAACGAGCCCCGACGAGGTGGAGAAAAGCGGGGAAAATGAAGGAGAAAACCCCGTTGAAAAAGCATCTGATAATGTTTATTCCGAAGATATAGAAAAAGAAACTCATGTTGAAGACGATAATGATAAGGAAGAGGAAATGCATGACTATACCATGTCTGACTTAGAAGAAATGGAAGAGAATCAAGAGGCAGAGCAAGATGGGAAACATATTGACAAGGATCCACAGGATAATTCAAAACGAGATTCAGAATCAAAAATTGAAAACAATGTAGATAATGGCAAGGAAAGTCTTGATAAAGAAGTGGTAGAGGAAAGTAAAGATGAAGAACAGAATGATTCAATGTCTGATATGGAGAATGATGAAGAAAAGGACGACTTAGAAGATGATATGGCAATTTATAATAAATTTCTGGGACTTACAAAGGAGAATATTGAAACGGAAGAAACAAAGAATGACACCTCCTCGGAAACAAATGGTGTAGATATGGAGAAGCTTGAAATGGAAAATAAAATGGAGAAGGAAGAGGATAAGAAAATGGAAGAAGACACAGAGGAAAAGTCTGATGACAACAAGGAAAAACCAGAAAAGACGAACGAAGAAATGGAGTTGGAGGATGGAATTGAAAAGAACGACGAAAAGAATGAAAGTCAGGAAAATGTAGGGTCCAACAATGACCCAGAAGATAAAAAAGAACATTCAGAGTCTGCCGGCCAATCTATGGAAAATGATGACTTACGTTTGCATGTAGATGAAACGTTACGAAGCAATAAATCGGAAACTAATGGCATGGAGGATCAGGAACAAAATCAAGAAAATGATAAGGAGGTTGAAAATTGCAAAAAAGTCGAAAACAATGAGCTGAACCCAATGTTAGCTGGTGATAAAGAAGATGGCAAAATACAGGAAAGTGAGGAAAAAGATAAAGATATTGAAAATGATGCAGATTTGGACGATTTTGAAAATCTTTTAAATGAAGATTTATCCAAGGCCTTAGAAAAAGCTTTGGGAGATGAAAATGATATTTTAAAAATGGACGATGAAGAAACAGAAACCCCTTCTAAAACAGATGAAATGCTAAAGGATGACAAACAAATAAACAATAGGGAAAATGAACCTCCAAAAGAAATGCCCAAAGAAACAGTAACACCCACAAAATACTTGGCAAGTCCAAAGATAACAAAACAAATTACACCTCAGACGAACAAATCCAATTCTACAACAAAAAACAAGAAAATAGTTATAGAAAAGAAGGAAAATCAGGAAAACTATCAGGGAAAATTCAGTAAAACAAATCTAAAAGCCCGTCACAAACAAGGCAAACCAGTCATTAACCAAGAAAATATTAAAACTACAATTAATCAAGTCTTAATAAAAGAATCTACTAATATCGAAACTTTAGCTTCAGCATTAACTAAAAGTCCCCTCAAATCCTTACAAAATCTTCCATCTAAAGTTCACTTCTCCCCCACTGTAAACAGAATGGAACAGCGAACGCCTTTAGTCAGTATTGCACAGATTAAAAAGGAAAAAATTACACCAGCTCGTTGCTTTATCAACATGAATAGAGGTGAAAGAACTCCAATGAAGGCTGAAGATATATTCCTAAAACAAAGTCCTAAATCTAAAGAGAAAACCAATGAAAAGTTGAACAAATCCGTTACACCCAAGACTCCTGATTTTAAAACCTCCAGGAAATCACCATCACAGTGCAAAGTAAATTTGGTTGAGAAAGATCTTATCAAAACTCCAACAGCTACAAATCGGGTTACGAGAGCAATGTCCAAATCTCCAACTAACACAAAAACCCATTCCACATTTACTACCCCACAAAAAACACGAAATTTGTCGGTGAAAATCTTACGTTGTACCTCGGCACAAAAGAAAGATGGAAATGAAAACCATTTTAAGACACCTTCCGGCCAGAAAATACTCCAGAAAAGCCCCTCAATCAGCCCGAAAAACATAAAACCCTCTCCAATTGAGGAAAAAAGTTTATTGGAAAATCAAATAAATACAGAACAAATATCCAATACATTTAAGCTACCCAAGGGTATAACTATTACAAAACTTGCAGGTCATAATAGCAACGCAACTCCCACTGGTATAGAAATAACACCCAGTCGTTCAAATTATTGCAAACAAAATTTTACCGAACAGAGTCTACAACAATTGGAAAATCCTATAACACAATATAAGGATTCGGCCACAGAATCTCTAATTAGAAGTATACCTTCGTCTATAACAATAACAAAATCCGACATTGAGCCTTCAACTTCGTTGGCTTCAAGGTTAAGAGCACGTCAGGCCTCTATTGATATTGTTAGCGGTAGCCATCGTACCTCTCCCTCGAATTCCAAACATAGTCTTGATTATAAGAGTTATGCTGTCCAGCGATCAGCTCGCAAAAAAGAGGTCTTGCAAAGAATGCGTAACATTAAGAAGCAAATTTTCAAATCAATTGGTAACGAAATTGTGGGACAACATTTGAGAGCAAAATCGCCACTGGTTAAAAAGGCCAAACGTTCCAAGATACAAATAGAAAATGTGGAAATATTACCCAACATCAAAGATGAGGTTCTAACACCACTGTTAAATCAACAAAATATATCACCGCAAATATTGAAAGAAATTGACACACAGCCATCTCCAAAAACATCTATGGTTGATAATGCGAAATCCACATTAACACCATCGGCAACGGACAAGACACCAAAAGCATCCCCCAGCGAAAAGGAGACAAAAACAAGAAGCTCATTGTCGCCCAAAAATGAAAAAGCTGACGCCACAAAAACTAATTGTCCAGTATCGCCCTCCTCTCCAACCAATACAAAAGATGCGGCGACCAACATTACCAATCGTGGCGCAAAAACACCCTCTTTAAGAAAGGCTCCCAAAACACCAAAGGCACCCAAGACTCCATCCACCAGGAAACGACGTGCAGCATCGCCACTTTCGGATGCTGATATGCAAATAAAACGAGCTCAAAAATCACCCCATTTGGAAGAGAAAATGGCTATGGAATCAACACAATTGGGCCTATCCGATAGTGTAGTTGATTTTCTACAGGTATTTTGGTAGTTTTGATATTTCAAATCGAATACTAATTCCTCTTTTTGTTTTGTATTTATTTCAGCGTGATTTGAAAGCAAATCGCATTAATGTGGAAAGCATATTAGAAGAGATGCCAATTGATGATGTTACTCCAGATGAAACCCCTGAGAGTACAATGGCATCGACTACTGATGCCAAGGTATTAGAAGCCAAGGTGGAAGAAAAGGAATGTCTTGAGAAGGAAAAGGGAGTCTTGAATCAAGAGACCAAAAATAAACAAAGTCAGGAAGCTAAAAAGGCAGACACGTCGGAAAATGTTAAGGAAAATGATTCCGAGAAAAGCGATGGATCTGAAATACTTGATGATCTAATGGAGCAAGTGGTAAGATAAAAATACAAAATAGTAAATTGGAAAATTTCATAAAGTATTTGTTTAATTTCTTTTAGGAGGAAGAAATAAAACCCGTTCAAAGTACGCAGGAAACTAAACCTATAACAAAGGTAGGTGGATATACATATTTGTTTTAATGTACTTATTCTCACATTAATCCAAATTCTTACAGGCATCAAAAGAGCATGTTGAAGATTACAATGAGGAAAAGGATATAGCACTCCTGGACAAAGTTGGGGTAAGCATGAATAATGAAAGTGAAATGAAATTTTGCTGATGTTTACTTCTTCTCTGCCTTTCAGTTGAGAATAATCAAAACTCCCGACATCGAAAATTTCTATGTTATTGAAGAAATTGAATCAATGCAAAAAATTGCACAACAATTTGCCACCGCCTGCAAGCCATTTTCGAATGTATTCAGCATCAAACAAGCCGAAACGGATAACACATTCGAACTGCTCTTGAGAAATGTCAATGATTCGTTGAAATTAGACTTACAACTAAGCGACATGAAACGTTTGATTAATCTCATTGTAATGTGGTATGCCAATTGGTATAACAACAAATTGATTGAAAAGAAAACAATACCCGAAGCAATTAATAAGTATCTATTAATGTTCTTCTATGTTCCAAAAACAGTTAAACGTTTCTATTATTGTGAATTTTGTACGGATCATTTTACTACCGAACATCGTTACTACACACATCGCATTAAACATACGGGTGCCACATTTCCCTACCAATGTGGTAAGTGTGTCATGGGTTTCACGCGAGCAAATTCTTTGAAGTTGCATGAAGCAAGTTGTAAAAAAACACCGGGCGGCGAGGTACCAACAAAATTTCAAAATTCCAAAGCCTATGGCAACAAGGATAATACAAAGACAATTGTTCACAGAGCCGTTAAAACTGCATATGTATGTGCAAAGTGCGGTGGATCCTTTGGCAATGAAAGCGAAATGAATGCCCATTTGGCGGCATGTTTTCGTACATTAAAACGACAACCTAAATTGTGTACACCTAGGCCGAAGCAAAAAGTTGAGCCGTATGCAAAGAAGTAGATTAGATAAATATTGTACTATTTGTTATTTATTTTCATGGCCTGAAAAAACTCAGCAATCTCTTTGGAATTTTAGTAAAATTAAGATTTAAATGTTTTATTGTTAGTTTTCTTTTTTTAATTTTATAAAATGTAAGAAATTGCCATAACTAGTAATAAGTAACGTCATGTTTAAATATGTTTTACATTCATTTTTTTTGTAACCTCATCGCATATGTTTTAAACAACAGTAATGTCTACTGCAGTAATAATGCAGTAATGTCTACTACCGTCATGTCTACTTTTTTCAATTAATTACACTTACAGTGTAACAAGTTTTTTTTTGCATTTTTTTATTTTTATTTTATTTTTATAACACTAATAAATGTGTGTATGTGCTACATTTGTAATGTACTTTTAAGAGCAATTTCTTTTTATATTAGAAAACTCGAAAAAGAAAAGATATCACCAACATGAACTCAAGATCAATTTTCAAAATATAGTTTTCAAAAAAGGTAAGTAAGTAGTCGTCTACTAAACTCTTCCCGTGGTAGTTCAAGTCCTCAAAAAAATATATTCAAATTAGGTTCACTTCTTGGTACAATCACACAAGCCTTAATTCGATATTTCGGGTTATTTTTGATAGACTAACAACAAATATTCAATATAGTTATAGTTGTCATTTTACAGAACCTCCAAATTGTAGCAACTTTGAGGATAACCGATTGGGTCATAAGTCAAGTTTTCAAATGGTCCGGCTGGTCCTGTCAAAGAAGAATTATAAATAAATTACATTTTTCAAAATTGGAAATTTTGACCAGGAATAAAGCATTTTCAACCGGTTGGATCTAGCGGCTCCCAAACGACCCGAATTTCATATAATCAAGGAATTTCACTTCCGCTCCCCTTGCTCATATAAACGATAGCCATTATTTACTGCAAGAAAGCCCTTTTTGAAATAGGGGACACATAACAATATTGTTGGGAATGATATGACTGGCGAACTAGCTCAAGGTGGTTCTCAGTCGGTTGATTTACGGATTGAAGAAACTGTCAAATCACCTATAATCTATTATGTCAGCCAACTCTCTCATCGAAGAAGCATGCAGAAGATATCCCGGGCCACCTGGGCGATAATCTTGATGCAAATAACCATATATAATCTATTATGCCAGCCAACTCTAAATGGCTCTTGTCGAAGAAGCAGGCAGAAGATATCCAGGCCACCTGGGCGACAATCCTGATAAAAATAACCAGTTCCTTTCTTTCAATTAGTAAGTCCGATTTAAAAATCGTGGTGGGCATATTAACTAGACACTGCAGTATCACACTGATCACTGTAGTATACTATGTACTACTGTAGGCTATGCTGTAAAGCGAAAAACATAGGCTGCTCGATAGTTCTATTTAGACGTAGATCCCATCATCATCCACAGGTTTGCTAAAAACATATCATGGCTAGGTAAGCCTTTATATGACTATATATCCCTATCCCTTTTTTCTTTTCCAATTTATATATTTCCTACATAGCTAATTCTTGCTATGGTCTCTGAGTAAAGAAGCTATCCACTCTATGGCGGTTGTGTATCCTGTAACCCTACCTAACCTTAAACTACTTCAGCCAGATATTTAACAAGGGAGGAATTACTATAATAAGAACTAAAAGTAATCAGAAAATATTCTATTTCACATCTAAAACAAAGGTCGTATTTTTGGTCCTTCTAAGTATTTATGGAAATGGAAAAGGATTTTAGAAAGCAATAAAAAATTAATAGTAACAATGACTGGGATCCAAAAATAACCAGATTATTCAACGAGTTGAAAATCTTGCATCAAAAATATATTTAATTATCGGATGCAACATCTCTTGACAAATACTTCAAACACTGTTGCAGTCTGCATTTTTTTCATTTTTAATAATTTTAATTATTTCTCTCTTCTATTCCTTTGTTTTTTTGAATTGCTGGCAATAAACTTGAGACATAAATGCAATCTTTAGTATTAATTAATATACATAGTCAGTTTTATGATGTGCCATGTAATAATATTGCATTCAACATACATACATATATTAACTCCCACACATTCTGTCACGAGTGTGTGTGTGTGGGGGCACATACATTTCCATTTTCATCATAAACATGAAACGGTCATAAACATGCACATACTTACTGTTATAGGTTTTTCCGGGCACATAACCATTGGGGCCATCAGCCACAATTAGTCTATAGCCATTGTCGCCGCGTGTGCGCCTTCCATGTGGCAAATGTGTTGGAGCACGAGTGCAAGCATTGACACATGTCACACAAATCACTGCGATTAGGCAGAAATAGAATAGTCCGGCTGAGCGTTTAGCCAGCAACATTTTAATTAAAAACTAAAAAAAAAATAAATAACAAAAGAAAGAAAGAAAAAACAAATTCAAAGCATTGGTGATTGATTGTATGTGTATGGTGGGGGTAATTTTCCTATTTTTTATTCTAGAACACAGAATATTGAATATTTTTCTGATTGAATAATTTAATGATAACACTAGACACAATTCCATTTCAATATTATTATTTTTTTCTTATTGACACTTGTTCCACCAGTTATCACTATTCAGTTAGTTGTGCTACTATCACTTAAAACAACAAGGAATTATGGCTTCTGGAATATGTAGTTTTTTCTTTCCGTTTTCAAATAGACTTCATATAGATTTTTTGTCAAGGCATCAACCTTTTAAGAGCAATCGTTTTCAATTGTGTGATAATTGTTTGCTTGCGATATTATTTTCACTTCGCTTATATTTTTTTTTATTTCTTGCTCCGCTCTTGCCTTTATTTGAAAATCCGTACCGCCAAAGACCAGAGAAGTTGATTGAAGAACGCACACGAGATGACTGATTCGAAATTTTGGTTTTTTGTGTTTTGCATCTCCAACTGCGAAGACAAGAATTTTTTTCTTTTTTTTTGAGATGGAAAACAATATAAAATACTATCTCTGGCGAACAGAGGCGCCACAATTATGGGAGATGTAAGATTCATGTGCATATGTGCATATGTAGGTGTAGAATTGACTTAAAATAATATTTTTTGGAAAGAAAATTACTTTTAAAAATTAATTTAAATTTAATTTAAAATTACTAAAAAATAATAATGTTTTAGTGTTGTCTTGCTAAAAATAATTACAGATATAGTAATAACTAAAATAATATGCTAATAATATTATAATGATGGTAACAATAATAATAACAAGAATAATAATAGTAATAATAATAATAATAATAATAATAATAATAATAATAATAATAATAATAATAATAATAATAATAATAATAATAATAATAATAATAATAATAATAATAATAATAATAATAATGATAATAATAATAATAATAATAATAATAATAATAATAATAATAATAATAATAATAATGATAATGATAATAATAAGAATAACAATAACAATGATAATAATAATAATAATAATAATAATAATAATAATAATAATAATAAAAATAATAATAATAATAATAATAATAATAATAATAATAATAATAATAATAATAATAATAATAATAATAATAATAAAATAATAATAATAATAATAATAATAATAATAATAATAATAATAATAATAATAATAATAATAATAATTTTGTAACTACAATCTTGTCCTTAAACCATAGTAACAAAATATATTTTTATGAATTGCTTTGAAAATATAGTTTCGAAGGTTTTTAAAAATTATATGATTATGGAACCACTGAACTTCCGACATTTACAGGTTATTCGTTACGAGTGATATATGTGGGATCTATATCCAAATATGAACAGATCTCGATAAAATTTAGCAAAGGTATTTCTCAGCTGTATTTGATATATCTCCCAGAACATCGTTGTTACGGATTGCATATTACGGCTGTGGAGAACAAATATAACAAATCGGATGAAAATATATATGGGAGCTATAGCTATATCTGAACCGATCTTCACGAAATTTGAAGTACTAGCTTCTAGACTAAATTCGGCCGTAAGTGCGAAATTCCATCCCATTTGGTCTAATATTACACGTTTGGAGAACAGTAAAAGGCAAATCGGACGGAGATATATATGGGAGCTATATCTAATTTTTGTCCGATTATTTCCAATTTCAATAGGGTTCAACAAATGATTTGTGCAAAATTTCATCTCGATCAGGCAATAAATGCGACCTCTACTTTGTTTACAAAAAATACATGGACAGACGGACGGACGGACATGCATAAATCGACCCCAACATATGATTCGATGTAGATCATCCAAAGGAACTATGGGCCTATCTCGTTTCCTTTTGCCTGTTACAAACAAATGCACAAAGACATAATGCCCTGACCACTTACTGGTATAGGGTACAAACAGGATAGTGGATATTGGGATAGCATGACATGCCGCCCAATATTTCCTATAACGAATAACTATAACGAATTTACCAAAAACAAACACCCGAATTCCAGGACACACTACGCGACAACAGAATACTGAGTGCAAGGAGAAAACCCACTTCTTGGGCTCTATAATTGAAATCCTCGACGGGAATGAATGTGTTGCCAATGACAACCCAAACAGACAGATCCATCAGATTTCTGTTCGTCTTTCTGTCGGATGACAAAATGAATATGTCGATTACCCCAGTGTCTCGAACAAAAATGCTCAGATGCCTGGACTAAGAAAAGCTGAGTAACCAGACTATTTTGAAGTCAAGAAACCCATTCCTCAGGGACTTAGTCAAGACAGTGCTTCCTCTGATGTCTGGGATTCGCCATAACTGCTTGACGAATGGGAAAAAGGTAACAACATGCTGTAAATATGGATGTGGACATTGTATGGTATTAGGAGAAAACCGCAATGTTTTTTAACCCATAGAATCTCAGAATACGATGTGGTGTCAAGTGTCAGCGAACGACACTCTCCCAGATTTCTAATAAATTCATTCATCAAATACAGCTTAGGAAACCAAGAAGACATAAGATAATTTTGATATTATGGATAAGGAGCAAATTTTCAACATTAAACTGTTAACTTTTCTCCACCTCCACCCTTTTATCTTTATTCTAAGCTTTTGTAAGAAATTCTACGCCACTGGAATGAATCCAGATTATACTATAAAGAAGGCAGTATGATTCGGATTTCAAATCAATAAAATCACACAAAAAGGTTTAAAATTGATAAGAAAATAGCAAAGAGGGAGAGAAAGGGAGAGAAAGGGAGAGAAAGAGAGAACTACCAAATAATTTTAGAGAAGAAACCGTTTATTTGAAAGTTGTTGATGAAGGTCAAAACGTGGAAATGAAATAGGAGTGAAATACATTTAACAAATCAATTATAAACATATTACAATCTTCTAAAAATTCAGCAACTTCTAGTTTGGAGGATATGAAGTTATCACCGAGAAAGAGATTATTTGTAGAGAGCTGGTATTTTTATGAAATAGGCTATGCTTCGCATAGTATTGAAAGTAATAATTCTAGAGCTTCCCAACTGTAATCGCATTGACGTTTCAAAATTTCTAGTTTGGGAGATATGAACCACTAAAATCATCCTCGAGAATTAAAATTATTTATAAGTGGTTATTTTACCACATTCTCATCCCCGAGAATTAAAATCGTTCCAAGTGATTATTTCACCACAGGGGATATTTTTATGAAATATACTCTATGTTTTACTTTTTATCAACGCTTTTGAAACATTTGTACGCTTGAATTTATATAAATTCGATCAATATCCAGGGCTGGATCCTTGTTCTGCAAACAAATAAATAGAGAAAAAAATCCTTTATAAAATGTTTAATTTGACATTTCGTTTTCATTTCACATTTTTATAAAGTAGAATTGAGCGCCTACTTTACCCTGTGAGATCTTTTTAATTTTAGAGACATGTGATTTCACATTTTTTTTTTTCATTAAAAAAAAATTCTATAGAAAAAATCTCACAAATATATAACCTAACAAATACTACGCCAATTTGTAACTATCAAAATGTATCAAAGATTTTTATGGCTTTTTTGCAACATATTCAATTGAATTATTGTTTTCAATTGTTTTGTTGATGATTTCTGTAATTGAAATAAGCAGAGAATTCAATTTGCCTTCGATTTCTACTGCCATGGAAGACATGTTATTAGTCAGTCGGCGAACAGAATTTTGACCTTAGGGTTCAATTTATGAGCACAGCACCGAGAAGACAATCAACTGATAAAGAAATAATCAAAGTATTTGAACAGAAATATAAATATTTTAAAGAAATCTGGGTTATAATTTTTTGAAATGGATTCTCTCACATTTTGTGTACTTGGAAACATTGAAAAATTATTGTTTGACTTATTAAAATAAATAATTTAATGAATAAAAGAATTTTAAAAAATGATTATCATAAGAAAACATGGCGAAATTCTCTTTTAATGAGATGGAGTAATTATCTAATTTAGAATATAAAGGCCGGGAATGGACAAAAATACCGCAGGGCAACAATTGGGCAGCGTGTGACGTTTTCATTGGCCGTTTGAAAGCCATAATTCGTGTCAAAAGTGATCAATTCGAACAAATCTAAACTTATTCTAATATTTGATGTTATTTCCGACATTTTTTGCTTTCATTCAATAAAATTAAAAAAATTATGGCGTTTGACTTTGTTGCAGTTTTTTTTCTATCTCATCCTGTATTCTATATTTTAATAAAAACACTTAGATTTTTTATTACGCTGTTTTTATTATTAAAACATTTACATTTTATTTAAAATATTTCTTTGTTTCCTTTTTCAATTGTTTGTTTTTTTTCTTTGAATGTATAATTTATTTTTAATAAATTTGTGTGTGTGTGTATGTTTCTTCTTCAACTACCTCGGGTTTCCGTAATGGTTTTAGCCTAAATAATAATATTATTATATAAATATGTATACTGAAGAGCTATATGAGTTGGGTGTTTTTTGTTTTTGTATTGAATTTTCAACAATGTTTGTTTTTGTTTTGTATTGACGACCACAATTAATTCCTCGTTTATCTTCTTTAAGAGCTGAGGCTGGATTCTTGTTCTATGAAAATATATAAGGAAAAATATTTCGTTTATAAAATTTTTCATTTCATATTTCATAGAACAGGAATTGAGGCCCCGGTGATGTATTTTTGTTAATTTAAAATAAAATTTTAAAGTCAAGTTCCAAAAAGGCAAATCCAAACATTTTTGTCTTTAGTTTTGGTGTTTGCCTTTCCGAAACCAATCCTTAATTTAAATATTCTATCAAAAATGTTGGGTCTTTTTGTTTTCGGGGTTTTCCTTTTTTCAATGAATTTGGCTTCTATTTGAGTTCCGTTATTCGAATGTAAGACTATCAAGTGTTTGATTCTTTGTTTTTGCTTAAAAAAGCTGTAATGATGATTATACATTTTGTTTGACTTAGTGTTTAATAATAATAATAGAATATTGTATGCATGCTAAATATCTTTTATTTAGGAATCATAGTTATAATTGTGAAATTAAGAATATTTCCTTTATTAATAATAATAACTTAAGAGTTTTAATATTAAGTACAATAAATAATAATTATAAAAAAGTAATTTATTTATAATAATCTTTTTTGTAGAAAATATCACTTTTTTCTTAAATGAAAAACAAAAATCACAATATGAAATTAAAATGTAATAACATAGAAAAATAAAAAGAAACAAAATTATTAAAAAATGTGTAGATAATTAAATAATACAAATTTTTATTTATCTTTACAAATTAAAATTAGATATAAAGCAAAAGTATATGAAAAAATAAGTGGTGATAATATTTTTTTCATACACAAGGCGCAAAAGTAATCCTCCTATCAGAAAATGCTATGCATTTTACGAATGGCCCCTAATGTCTTAATTACAGCCAAAAAACAACGGAAGTTTACTTTCGCGTCTAGGTGAAAAGACCTTTTGGTATCTTCTATGAGAAGAAGACCATTTGGTCTTCTATGAGAAGAAGACCTCTTGGTTTTCTATGAGAAGAAGACCTCTTGGTCTTCTATGAGGAAAAGACCTCTTGAGGTCTTCTCCTCATAGAAGACCTTTGGCAGACATTCTGATGTTTTTTTTGGCTGTAATTAAGACATTAAGGGCCAATCGTGTAATTATTATAGTATATTCTGTTAGGAGGATTACTTTTACGCCACCTTGTACTTTTATTTTATAATTTTACAATAATAAACATTTCCACCAACTTTTTATAATAAATTCAGACACGTTTAAAACAAAGAAGAAAATTGATAGAAAAAATAAAAGAAAAAAGTTTATTAGAATATATAAAACTGCTAATTTGTATATTTAAAATATGAAACAAAAAAGTGAGAAAAAACATGAGAATAAAATACAAAATCCGCAGAGACAGCGTTCGAAAAAAAATATATTAAAAACCACAATATAAATATAAATTTGAACACGAGCTAGATTACAGCCTTTATATTAATTAATTAAAAATTAATTTTAAAATAAAATATATATAATAAATGTTACAATAATAGACACTACACAAGCCTTTGTGATAATAAAAAATATATACTTGATATAGATAAACAATTGTGTATAAACTTGAACTTAAACAAAGAAAAAAAAAAGAAAAAAATGTTTATAAAATATACCAAAACATTAATTATATATTTAAAATATAAAGCAAAAAAATGAGAACAAATAAAATAATACACAATTAAAATAGATATTCCTCAGACGCACCATTTGAAAAGAGATTTATATATTAAAAATACAAATATATGTTAATGAAAAATTTTCATTTTAATACTTAAAAATATGTAATTATAATATAAAAATAAGGATACTTTCAAATAAAAAAGACTTGGTAAATATTTCCTGGAATCATAATAAAATATTGCCTAAGCTGCAACCAAGCATGACTATAGCAGATTTTGGCATTTTTCCTTCCATTCGGAGATTTTTTAAAGAAAATATATTTTCTTAAATTTTTTTAATTAAAAAGTTAATGAGAACTGAAAAAATCATTTAATACTAAAAGGTTAATATAGGCGTTTCACGGTGATCCAATAGATCTGCAAGAGAAATGAATTAAGAAAAAATATTATTTAAAAGAAGTAAAAATGGAAAATTTTTAAAGAAGATAAAATGGGGTGACTTTTTATACAAATTACGATTATATTATTTTAAGAGAGCTACGATTATATTATACTAGAACAGGTCTAAAAGGTTATTTCGTGACATATAAATTTCTCGCCGTATATATATTTTTTTTTTGGCTAAAACAATACTCTACCCATTGTGATTTTCAAATTTCAAATTACAGTCACAGCGGCTCATTATGTTGGAGGAGCTCTTGTCCACTGAGAAAACTGGAAAGTTTCATATTACCGAACATTCGGTTAAAAATCTAGGCTGAGAATTTTAAAAGAACATAGGTGACATTATATGGGTCTTACACCAAATTATGGATCTATATTGGATGTTTTCTAGATCTGGACTCTAGGAAAGCTACATGGAAGTATTACAAAGATAAATTCTACAGATTTAAGATTTAAAAGGCAATTCTAGGTTAGAGTTTATTGCTGAATCGATTAAAATATACTAGATTCAGAGGTATCATTATATGGAGATTTATATTGGAAATTGTCGAATAACTGCCAAATTACAGCAAAATCGGTTGACAAATGCATCTGCTGCGAAAACGACATATGGACAACTTCGATCCACAGTGAACGATATTTGCTGATATGTTTTAGGTTCAGTTAAGTCTTTTGCCGGGATCGAGATTTCCCGGTTTCTTCTAGTTTGTATTGGGGTAAAGGTTGCCGGTTTGAGCCTAAATTTTTTGCACTTTTCTGAGAAAGTAGGTAGCTTGAAAACCTGACTCAAGGAGTGCTTTTGGGCTATGGTCGTATTTCATTGGTGAGCTCCTTCTACACTTTGCTGCTTAATTAAAGGGCTTGGGTATTTTTGGTTTCCACGTGTTTGGATGTTGCTCTGAATCAATTTTCCAAACATCTTTCTCCTTCATTTTTATACCCTCCACTATAGTATGGAGGGTATATTTAGTTTGTTATTCCGTTTGTAACACCTCGAAATATACACTTTAGACCCCACAAAGTATATATATTCTTGATCGATTTAGCGATGTCCGTCCGTCTGTGGAAATATCTCTAGCTTCCGAACGAAATGAAGTAATTTAAGCGACATTATTCACCGGAATTCTTTCAAATTCGGTTTTTGAAGTTCGTAATGGATACTACAGCGTATGACAAAAAATTGTCTGAGCAGGTCCACGTCTCGCCCCAATATAACATTACATTCGGTATTTTTAAAATTTTAAAAGAATTTTTAACGGATTTTATTTTTTTGAAAATTGCTAGATTCGTTCCAAATGGTGGAGGGTATTCAAAGTTCGGTCCGTGTGAACTTACAGCTTTTTTACTTGTTTTTTCTAAATTTCAGTTGAAAATAATAAAAGTTTCATTTTTATCCAAAAAATCTCACCTTTAGCAATGCTCCACCAGGGCAGTGTAACATATGTGAGGAATGCATTTAATGGAGTGGATTGTTGGCGGCGATTTTCCTTCCAAAAGTGGAAAGATTGTGCAAAGCCACGACTGGCCCACAGGGGATTATAAGCACCATCGTCGAGTTCTGAAAACAAAAGAATATAAAACCAAATTAATAAGAGAATCTAATAATAAAAAACAAATTTAAAAAAATAAAATTTTATAATCTGTCCCTTAAAAATACCAAATTTAATCTGATTTCTTTCACCTTGTAAAGCCTTTTTGGACAAATCACACCAGTAATAGATGTTGGTGCCATCTGGTGTACGCCGCTTGGGCACAAGTGTTAGGGCACGATTGTAGAACGCTTGCATCGCAGCGGTACGTTTGGTGCGCGGCAAGGTGGCCGACATTTGTCCCATATCGACAATATTGGCACTATTTAACATGGGTGGCGATAACGGCGAGGTGTTGCACGATGCTGAGGCTGAATTCAAATTACCATTGCAATCATTTAACGAGGAGGGACGTTTGGAGGGGCTGTCATTGTGTAGAGTACTCGATGAGTTGGATGAATTATTATCCAATGACTGATCGATAATATTCACATTGATTTCCTGGTCTTTTTGTTCATCCGCCGCCAGCGATTGCTGGCTATCGGACTCGTCCACCTGCTGGGTGGCTTGTAATGGATGGCTGTCTGTGGTTACAGGTACACGAACACATTTTTCAAATTTATACGGTTTTGCATCACCACTGTCCGTTGCCGTGTTTATTGGCTGGGGCGAGTTGGATAGAGGTGAGGGTTCTTCAACCACGGGCAATTCTTCTTTGCCACGTACTGTAATCAAAGAATCGGTTTCGGTTAGAATAATTATTTTGCCACCACCATCGGAGATCTGGGAGATATCACCGCCATTTAATGAAATAGCATCATCGGCAATTTCATATTCCTGGCAAGAATCTGTGGCGGCATCTGTTTTGAGATCACTGGGTTTGTTGGGCTCCCCCTTATTGCCATTCGAGACGGGTTCCTTTTTCTTCGTTTGCGAAGATGGTGTGGGGATCTTTGTTTTGTCATTTGATGATAAGCTGGTGGATGATGATGTGGATGAACGATTTGCTCTTAGCTTTTTGGGTGAGACCTTGGAGAGGAGACTGCTTGTTTTGGAGACCTTTTCTTTGTTGCGTTCCTTGGGTGATTCCTTTTCTTTTTCCTTCTCCTTGTCTTTGCTTTTGTTTTTGTCTTTTTTATTGCTTGTTGTAATTTCTGGTTTTTTAATTTTGCGATCTGCAGCCGATAGCGATGACGAACGCGTGACATTGGTCACAGTTGGCTTGCGTTCGGTAAATTTCAAGCTGCCCCTCTTGGTGACCACCAATTCACTTTCCACACTCAATATGGTTTTGGGTTTGGCCTTGAATTTCTTGTCGGGCATTTTATTCAAACAGGCTGGAGTTTCATTGGCATCATCACAGGTTGGACAATAGACCTGCGACATTTGGGGTGTATTTTTATCGGAATTTCCCCAACGTTTTTTACATTTCTTGCCCGATTTGAAACAATTGCCACCACATCCGGTGGTCTTGCCATTGTTGGAGCCTGGCGAGGGTAGGGTAATATCCACAGCTTCGACAGCATCTTGTATGGGATCATTGTTGGGCGGTGAAATAATACTTAGAGCCATGACACCACTACCCCCACCAACATTGTCTTCCGGGCCTTCGGAGGACACCTTTGATTTTAACAATGGTTCTGATTCGTTTGGTTCTGTATCAGCCTTAGTTGTTTCCGTTGTCGTCGTCGTTGTTGTTGTCTCTCTATTCTGTTCTAATTCTTTATTTTGTTTTTGAAATTCTTCACAATTCGGATTTGTATGGAGTTTTGCCTCAGATGCCGAGAAAGCAGGACGTTCATCTACAAAGATATTTTATATCGAATCATTTGTAGTTTTATTCAGTACTATTTTTTTTTTTTTTTTTGATATTGCACACATTCATCTTTCAGTTTTTTTTTTCAAATTTCTAAATTAAATAATTTTCAATAAACAATAAATAAATTTAAAAATATTTAAAAAACATATTAAAAAATATAAATTGCAACTAATAATTACAAAAAAAATATGTGAAATAATATTTTGCAAAATAATGTTATTTATATTCAATTTATGTATGGAAAAATGTTCGATTTCTGCTTGGTGTTGTAAGAGTGTAATTAGCTTGTAGCATGATGGGCGAAACAATGTAAGGACAGAAAAAGGGAGTGGTAGGAGGAAGAGGAGCAAATGGAATGGAAAATTTGTGATGCTAACAACTTTTATACTTGATTTTAAATTTAAATTCTAGTGTTAGGAGGATTTTCTTACGAGAAGGCGGATATTACATGCATTGGATACTTGAAAACTTATTGGAGGGGAGAGGTTTGTTATTGTTTTTCTAAATATTTCTGAGTTTCTTCTTTAATAACAGCAGGGAAGATATCATTTACTCTACTTTTCTCTATCTGCCCTACTAACACCCAGACCCAAAAGGCTGAAATGTAAAGAGGCTGCTAAAGGAGTTGAAAGGAAAAGGTCTGGCAACATTTCCATGAGGGCAGCACATATAAATACAATGTTAGAGGTGAGGTACTACACTCGACTTTATATTTGAGATTAATTTTACAATCGAGAGTATTTAACTCACCCGAACGAATCGAAATGAACCCTTTACATAATGTATGTAACGAGTGTTTCTTTTCGATTCCTGTAGCATATCCTTCAATCTCATCTCTGAGTGCAAGCGTATAGAAAACCAAAGTAGAATGGCTGAAATAAGCTAGCAGACTCAGACACCCCTAGATAAGATATCCGCCCTCCGCCTTCTTGCACTTGAGAATCCTGCCTACTAACATACCAAGACAATGCCACCGACTTAGGTGGATAAAAGACCTAATTAGCCTAGGATAGGTGAGCAAAGATCTTTTCAATAGGGACTACAATACTTACGGACCGTGTAGTTGCGAATAAAATTAGTGGCGCGGGAAGTTGGGTTCTTTATAGATTAGACAGTCTTCCAACTTTGAGACCCCATATCCCTGGAGTGTAATGAGACTGGCTATATAAATTCTCAGATTTTGAAATCAGGTCAAAGACCGTATGTCAAAGACTTAGGTGGGTCAAAGTCTTTTCAATACTGTCTACAAGACTAAGCAACTTACGAGTCGGGTAGGTGTGAAAAAACAGACGCGTTCTTGTCGTTTGGTATCGAAGAAATTGACCGAATGATGTCCAATTGAGCCAGGCTTCCAGCTTTGAGAATTTTCCGTGTTTCCAGTCAAGGCAAAGACTGTATGCAAACAGAGCATCGTTCATATATGGACGCATCAACGTATAAAGATTTAGTCACTGATTTCTTTCCATGATAAATGCCATAACTGACCTTAGTTCTTCCGAAATAACACAATACAAAGAAGATGGAAATTAAGTCGCAAATCTTGGATGGAGATCTTCCCTTTTCTGATAAGTGCCATTGATACCACCGAAAACGTTACGTCAAAATGTGGGTATAAGACTGATGGAGAACATCTCCTTGTCTGATAATTAACATGGTTGTCATGGTAATCCCACCCGAAACGTATGTGGCCTTCGGGTCATCAAGAACGCAACTCTCTGGAGGTCAAAACCGATAATCAACATTTCTCAAGGAAGGGTTCTATAGTTGAAAAATGAGAAGAGGAGATTAAATCTCTCTCTCCCACGCCTTAACCTCAAAAGCCCAATAAGGAAGAATATTCTGTGAATACTGGTAATGAATATCAGGGATGGAATGCTCCATGAAGTCATCAATGCCGAATGATAAACTTTTTTGTAAGAAGGACACGTATTAAATGTGTATTTTTTAAAAAGGACCTATTTTCGGCATGGATTTGTTTTGTGAGTTTTTAAAGGACCCGCCTTAATTTTGATTTTTTTAAATAACCTGTCTGTAATGTTTTTTGTTTTTTTTAAAGACCGTTCCTTTGAGTCATCGAAGCTGAATGATGTGGATTTTTTAAACTGTCTTGAATGCGAATTTGGTAAAGAGGTCCTGCCTGTGGCATATATATTTATTTTTAAACGACCTGCCTGTTATGTGGATTTTTTCAAAAATAATCTATAATTTAAAAGGTTCTGTCTACGAATAGATATTTTTTAGAAAGAACCTTCCTAGCGCGTGGATTAAAAAAACATCCCCAAAGCCTGTTTTTGTCCTTAAAGCGGACATTTTTAAATAACTTTCTATGACGTGCCTAAAACGTCCTTAACGTAGTTTTCATGACTATTTTCTGTCATAGGATGTGGTATACATTACGAACTTTATATACCAAATTTGAAACAATTCCGGTGAATAATGTCGCTAAAGTCATCCAAATACCGAATATCGGGAGGTACCGTTATATGGGGGCTATACCAAAACGCAGACCTACATGGCCCATTTTCAATACAAAAGTCCAGCAGACATAATATACATTTGAGTAAAATTTTGTCAACCGACTTCATTTCGTTCGGAAGCTAGGGTGATTTCCACAGACGGATAGACGGACATCGCTACATAGAATTTTATGCTGATCAAAAATATATATACTTTGTGGGCTCTAAAGTTTATATTCCGAGACTTCCAAACGGAATGACAAACTTAATATGCCCTCCATACTGTGGTGGAGCGTATAAAAATAGGGAATCAATAAGAACAACGTCAATGTTTTAAATGTATTTTGAAGGATGTATTAAAAATTGATTTAAAAAAATAACTCCTAGGGAGAATATCCAAGACAAAGAACAAGGAAACTGAGAGAATTGGTGGCTCTTTCCGAAACCTAGGTATTCCCTGCCTTACCCCCTGGTAAACATTACCATCTTTCTGCACTAATAAACAAACGCTGTTTTTATAAAAACAACAATAATGGGATAACGCCGGACAATTTTGCAACAAAAAAAATATTTTTGAAGGACACATATAAACGTAGATTTTTTAATTTTTTTCAAGGACATTTAAAATCGTATATTTTTGGAAAATATTTCGAGGAGCTATAAAAAAGCGATTTTTTAGAAATATTTTTCAAAGACCTTATAAATAATAACGTGTTTTTTTAATATTTTTTCAAATTCTCATGAAACGTGGATTTTAAAATTTTTTAAAAATATTTTTTTTTATTTTTTCCCTACACTTTCTGTATGGGCTAATGTGGCATAAGATGTATGACTAGGGTTTAACAATGAATACTGCAGTCATTGCAATGATGAGGAAGATATAATAATAAATATAGCATGTGCTGCACCTGAAGAAAGAAGGGGGAAATGTTGAAAGATAACGTTTTGAAAACAGGTTCATTTACCCAAAAATAATATGATTGGATTGAATCGAATGTACGTCTTTAAGAGATTGATTAGTACTTGTCCGGAATATAAGACTTAGTTTCACAATTTCCTTTAGCTTACATTGCTCTAATAGTAAAACAGCAAACGATTTTGTGTCTCGGTGTATAAAACTGTGTTTTTTTTTCTTTTTGGTGGGTGGAATGCATTCTAAATCACACCAACAATTACGTACACATCGAAAAGAAAACTTGTAATTCTTACATAACTTTTCAAATAATAGCAGCTTTTTATATATATGTATGTATAAACAATATTGTTATTTTCTTTTAAAGATATACTTTCCATAATTGTAATATCTTTCGAAAAAAAAAAACAACTTAGACTACCAAGTAAAGAAATATACAAAATAAAGTATTCAAAAAAGAAGGAGAATAAATTAAAAAAGTCATTTGCATTTCAGCTAAAGAAAAAAATGAAAATATTCAAAATAAACGAAAAGAAAGAAATGTTCGTTTATATATATAAATGTAGATTGGGTGTAAAGGAAATCATGAAAATAAAAAAAGGAAAAGAAAACAAGAAGTAGTACAGAAGTTCATATGCAATACAATATGCAATCTCTAGTTACTTTTTTTCGTTAGAGATTTTTTTACTTAGTTTTTGTTTTTTCAATACAGATAAAGATGAATCCTGCTTTCTCGGCACAAAAATCTATAGAATAGATTGGTTGGTTTTTTGAGGTATGTTTTTGGTTTTTGTTTTGTCTTCTGAGGGGGTTTAGTTGCATTTACAAAAAATTTAAGTTTTTTAGTTTTTAGTTTTTTTTTTAAGTTTGCATTACGAAATTGTTGAGAGAGAAAAAATATCAAAGTCTACGGGGTTTTGAATATTTACTTAAGTTTGTTCATTTTTTTTTTAAATATACAAGTTGTGTTGGTTGTTTTTTTCTGGTGTGTGGTTGGTTTGTTATTTTCCATTTTAGGACAGGAATAAATTTAAAAACAAATAGTTTTCGTTTTTCTTTTTCGTTTAAATAATTACAAAACAAATATAAGAAATTTACAAAATCAAAGGGGAAAATTGTACAACAACAAACTTTACAAAAGCAGCAACAGCAAATGGAAAAGAAAAAATAATCACTTTTTTTATTGAATTAAAAATTATACAAGCATAATTTTTTTTAGATTATGGAGATTAGGAAGTATGACAAAGATTTAAAAAAAAAACATTTAATTTAAAGTGAAACTGTATGATGAATGTGATGTTTTTTTGAATGTAATTAAGTAGTATTGATTTTATTGATACTTATTTAAGTATTTTACAATATGATTAAGGCGTGCAAAATCTAGGGATAGTGTGATAGAATTGTGTGTATTATATTTGGTATAAAATGTGCTCCGAATTAAAATCTTTACAGCTCCATTTTGATTGGTGATTAAATGACCGGCCTTCCGCCATGAGAAAATATGGACCTAAGAAAATTTAAATTTAATTCTATTGCCTCCTAAAGGACTTCCTTCACAATCTAGTTAAAAAGTTATGTTGGTGTTTAATATGACCTTCTGCAGATTTATACCATTGACGCTCAACTACCAAGGAGACAGTATAACTATATTTTAATGAAGAAAATACATAAATACATTTCATGTCCCTATGTTTATATAAAAGAGGCTCTTACCTACTTTTTCAAAACGAATCTAAATAGGATATCCTTTTTTCCCTCCGCTCTCTTCTGCCTTTGAGGGAAGTTTTGATTAAAATCGTAGCCTTACACTTTTAAGAACTGCATTTGAAGAGGCATTTCTAGCCTTTAAAGACAGCACTATGAGCCTCTGATTTATACAGTACCTATATTTAGGTTGTTTTTAGCCAAACTTTCCTAATGGGGAGAAGCTATAACAAACCAAATTTATAGCAGTCTCTGAAAACATCAATGGAATTGATTGAAATGTGCTACCAATTACACTATTTACAGTTTCATTTTGATGTGAAGATTTTGGTTGGTGATTTATAGTTACCACCTTCAGATTGGTTTTTTATACCCTCAGCCATATGGCTAGAGGTATATATTATTTACCCTAGGTCTCTTCGGACCAAATCCGAGTTAAAATTTTGAATAACAAAAATGGTTGAAAATACCAAAATAAACATCCGGTTCTCTTCATATTTCACTCATCCCATTACCGCGAAATTAAGATCCGATTCCATTCAGATTTGCGCATCTCAATATTTCCATAAACACAAGATCTGTTATAAAGATGGTAAAAATCGGACCATTCTTTATGGTACCTCCCCCATATAGGGTTCAAGATTTTTGAAAAACAAAACGCTAAAAGAAATCGGAACAAGTATCCAAATCTCTTTAAATTTCACACATCCAAGTATTTTTGCTAATATCTGTTATAAATACCTTCTGGTACCTCACCCACAAAGGGACACGAAAAATCGCAATTTATGACTTCGCAAAGAATTGGATATAAATGTTCGATTTCCTTAAAATTTTGCACAAACCAATATTTATATCTGTATTAGATGAAGAATGAAAATGGAATACCTCGTTCTGCTATATCTCATATCACGCATATTTCCACATTTTCTGATTAAAATCTAATCTAAATACCGAATTGCCGGCCAAAATGTCATAATGCCAAACTTACCAAATCGGAAAAGCTATAATAAGTCATATTTATTTCAGACACTGAACACTTCAATGAATTTGATTTCTTCGAAATTAAATATCTTGAAAAGGTCCAATCCTCGACCTATGAATTCTCATCCTCAGATAATTGAATTAAGTATTTCTCTCTACGCTATTATGGAGATTTCTGAAGCCTCTGACACGTTTCTCTTCATTTTCCTATGAACGGATTTAGCTGAAGCCTACCTAGGAAAAAGACCCTTATAAAACCCCTCTTAATTATGTTTATATATCATATAATAATTATGTTAAGGTGATGCATGTATATGGTGATAATTTAAATAAGTAATTTTTATGAAAAAAGCTTTTATTATTTTACAAAAAATTTAATTTTTTTGAATATAAAAAAATAAAACATGTGCAAAATATCAGTATCAATAAGAATAGTAATACAAAAATAAAAATAGAATATATAAAGCATATCGAGATTTGAAAAAAATATTAAAAGAAATTGGTTGCAATATTTACCATCTCTTAAATCGCCTGCCTCAATTTCGGACACCTCATTGGCCAGCGAATCGAGGCCTTCATTCTCTGAACGAGCCTTGGAACCAGCTGTACCAGCAGCCGATTCGGAAGATGTCTTTGTGCGCCATGCATAACGTGAGAAATTATTTAAATTAGCACTGGGATCGCTGAGGCGTCGCTGATGACGATATGTGCAGTAATCGTCGTTTTCTTCTTCCCATTCGTCCCACATGTCGGTGGCACAGAAACTAAAATAAACACATTACCATTAAAAATAATTAAAATAATGAGAGCAAATAACTAACCCTGGTTCACTGGTTGGCGTCTCCACACCCGAACCTTTGGGCTTTGTAACCGCCATCTCGGCATGACCCTTTCCCTGCGGCCCCTTCATGCGCACAAATTCGCAACGTGTTTGTACACCGGCACCACTGCTGAATAGGCCAAAGGACATGCGTTGGGCTACTTTGGAACTTAGGCTGGATTGCTGTAGAAAAAGGGGGAAATGTTAGTTTAATATTTTTAATGGCATAATTAAAATTCCATTCCTACCCTTGAATCATAGACTTTTTTCAAGGCATCATAACGTATGGAACCCAAAAATATTACACCCTGAACTGCACCATCTTTATCATTGGCCACCAGTTCCACGCAGACCATTTCACCATCTCGTACCAAGATGTCGCTGAAAACCTGGAAAGGAAAGAGGAGAGAAAAATCGATATTAAAAGGTAGCAAATATCAAATGGTGGTCCATATGGATTAAGAAAATTGTTCATATTATCCAAATGTCAAATATTCGGAAGACCAAACGTTACGCATATGAATTCCTATTATATTTCTAATTTTATTTTAAAAGGGTAACCTTTGAAAACATAACTTCTCTCAGGGATAAATTCTTTTATTCGTAGAAAATAATCTTCTGCTGCTTGTGACAAAATATTCAGATCATAAAACTGTTGTCCTCTTCTGTCCTGTAGGACCGCTTTTCACATTCTAAACTTCTAAGAACTGGGTATGAAATATAAAACCCTTATTCTTAAGGACTCAATTCAAAAGAATAAATCTTCACGTTTTGAAGAATCTTTCCCCAGCGTCCTTGTATTTAATCCCCGTACTCGTCTCTGAAGACTTTAATTGTTTCTTTTTTGTTTGGGATTTATTCAGTCTCCGAAGATATTTGTTTCTATTTTAAGGGGCCTATTGTATAGTCTTGTTTGTAAGAATCTTTGCTTTTAAACCTGATCTTTAAAGGAAGACTCTAAAGACGGCAATATAAGACTATTTCTTCTGCTTTTCAAACTCTATTCCGAAATGTCTAGCAGCAACGAATCAAATTAACAGAGAGCAAACTTCTGCTATTTCAGTCTATCTATTTCTCTATTTTTTTTTCATCTTTCAAAAATATGTGGTCAGTGTCTGCGGATTTAATCCCCGTTCTCTTTCGCTGAAGACTTTAATTAAACCACCTTTGGTGAGGACATATTCAATCCCCGAATGCTGATTTTTTTTCATTTTAAGGGATCTATTAAAGCATTGTTTGTTAGACTTGAACCTTTGCTTTTTCAGCAGATTTTTATGTTAAGCCTCTAAAGGTAGAATATGTCATATTAAAGGACGGACATTTTAGCCTTTAAGGACGGTTTTTAGTCTTCTTTGAAAGTCGAAAACCTTTGCTTTTAAGGAAGACCTTTAAAGGGATTTAATTCCATTGAATCTAAGTTAAGGTTTCTCGTTACAAATTCTCGGTATTTGTTGGCTGTATAGTCTTTCGAGATATTTTCCTGAACTCAGAATCCGAAATCTAACGTAGGAACAAATCAAGCTCTCTGATAAATAATTCCTGATTTATTATCATATGAGTGTTGCTGTCCCGAATGCTGTTTTTTTAATTTTAAGGAACCTATTTTAAAGCCTTGTTTCTTAGACTTCAACTTTGCTCATTAAGAAGATATTTCAATTAAGCCTCTAAAGGCAGAATAAGTCATATTAAATGATTGATATTTTAGACTTTAAGGATATTTAGCCTTTGTTTTTTTTTTTTTAAGGAAGACCTTTAAATGGATTCAAATCCATTGAATCTAGGTTCAGGTTTCTCGTTACAAATTCTCAGTATTTGTTGGCTGTATAGTCTTTCCAGATTTATTCATGAACTCCGAAATCTAAACCAGCAAGAAATCAAGGTCTCAGATAAATAATTTAGAATTTATTATCATATGAGCATTGGATGCCATAGCCTCGTAAAATCGTATCCTAGCCAATTTCGGTCCTTCACGGTTATTGCCACATAATTGCCTCTAGTCTTCTAGTCTTCACAGATAATTTTTTCCATCGAGTTCCATAGTTAGAGACATTTGAAACTTTAGCCCCTAATGAATCAGAACATCTGCATAAGAGAGTATTACTTCGGAAATTGATTTTTCGACTTTTGACCTTTAAATATTTTGCTCTTGACTTGAATTTTTTTATCTCTCTCCAGGAATATTGGTTTTAACCCTTGATTACTCTTCTAAGGTTTGGCTTAACCCACTATATCTAAGGTTTGAATCTCAAATCTGATGTTTGGGCTAAGATCTCAGTTTCAAAGCAGTCATGATTTAACCTTCAGATTTTCTGGGTAAATTTTCGAAATATTTAGGTTGTTTCCTCTGGATTTCCCTGGTCTGTTTTCTTGAACTGTAAAGATTAATTTTTAAGTCCTTTAGTTTCAATTCAATTGCGAATTCCGCCTTTAGTTGAATACAAATATTGCCTCTTTGAAAGGGATGCATGTTAAATCTTTAAAAAACTGATCTCTTCTTTTTTAAGGGCTAATTTTAAGAACATTTTTCCTACATCTTCGCCGCAGATTACTCCATGTCTAATAAGGCTAATAAATGAATATTTCCTCAGCCTTTGAAAATCTTTTTCCTAACTAAACTCCTCCCGGTATTGATTATTCACAACGTCAGGAGTCGGCGTTTTTCGTTTTCTCACCTCATCGAAATTATCCACCATAAAACATATATGAGGATAAGTTATTTCTTCACCCTCGCCTTTTGTGTCCATTTTTCGACGGCTCGGTGAGGCATAGACGCGTTGAGAATGTCTTCGCAGTACTTGCAATTCCTTGGGTGATGTTCGTGTACAAATCGCCAGTGTGAGTGTGTAATCGAATTGATGTATTATCATGTTTAGGTAGACCGTTTCCTCCCAATCAACATCGGGATCACCAATGGGTAATTTACGTGAATCCTTACGGAAAACATCGACCTCAGTCTGAAATTGAAATGTTAATAATTAAAAAAAATGGAAAATTGAAATGAAATAAACGTTTTACTTACCTCATATTTTGGCATATGTCGGGAAGAGCTCTTTACATGTTTCTTACGTACAAAAAATAATAGATCATCCGAATCGATACTGTGCACCGGTTCCGATTGGAATAGGAAATGACGTACAAATAAATCCGTCCAATAGGTGGTACCTTGTAGAACAACAAAACCGCTGTCTGTAAATGGAAGGTGAGAAGATGGATTAGAATAATTTGGAATAAAATTGATTTATAGAAATTTAATAAAAAGTAAATAAAAAATTTCTATGAATCGCGTTAAAATTAGTCTGTTTTCTAATAAGGGAGAACCTTAAAGTCATTAAACTATGGAACATCTATATAGAAACCCCTAACATTCCTTTTTTATATAGAAGACCCTAAACCGGCCCCCAAAAATCTTCTATTTTTTTAAGTCTTTTATTATCAGACCTTAAAGACTTTAGTAGAATAAATCAAAAGTCTTTTAACTATGTAACCTCAAGAACTGTCCTTGGTAACCGGCTGTTAAATTCAAACATATTCACATCATTGTGAAATTCCATATTGGCAGTGATTTGCATTACTATTGTTTATAAACTAATTCACTCCATATTGGAATGAGTCATAAACAATCACTTGAATCATGACTCTCAGCTATTGCAAAATTTTCAATTTATAAATAGACTTGAAAGGGCCACTTTAAAATAACAATCTTTAAGAGGTACAACCCTCCCTTTCCCAGCCCGTGTGAAAGTTTACGAATTCGTTTATAACAACAAAAACCAAGAGATACATCATAATCAAAACAAAAACCACGATTAAAAGCCGCTGCATAAAGTAACAACCCTTGAAAATTTATGGGAAAGTAAGAAACCAAAATATGATAGTAAAAACACTTGGGGTAAACCTTGAAAGAGGGTTGATTGGAACATAAATAGAAATAAGAAAAGGAAATTTTCAAAGGAAGCAAAAAAGTGGGTGGATATTTATAGAAAAAGAACAAGAATTGCAAATAATCGATAATGTAAAACAATTGAAAAAAAATCTTTGAAATTATTTTTTTCTGCAAGAAAATATAAATTAATGAATCATAGATAATATTTTGTTATAACAACCATACATACCATCCTTGAGCAATTGTCTCATTTCTTTGTTCCTTTGAAAATTAATATCTTCCAGCAATTGTTGTAAGGGTGTCTGGGGCCGGAGCAAAGCTCCAGCTGCACTGGCCAAAGACATGGTATTGAAAACGTTGATTTTTGCAAAATTATTTCAAAAAGGCTACCAAATTGAAATTCAATGCAGGCTGGTGTTCCAAGGTACAATATTTATGTCGACCTTAGAACCCAAGAGTAGTGGGAGAATAAAAAGCTGGGATATGCTGCAAATTTGTATAATTTTCTCCAACTTAATGGGGTCACCACATTTTTGCTAGCTCTGCTGTGGTTTTTCTTTGCTTTTTATAATATATTTATAAACATTTTGAGGAATATTTTTTAATTAATTTTCCACCAACTTTTGTTATTTGTTAAAAATGAAGACCCATCCGTTAACTTCGTTGCACTTTTCTTTGTTTAACCAGACTCTGCTGCCACTGACTGGCCTGTGTATTCTTTGCAAATGAAAAAGTTCTCTACATTATGTTGTACTTTTGTGAGGGTTATTCGTTGTTTCTTTTCCTTCCTCTTTTTTTGTAGAAAATGTAAATAGCTGTAAGTTTTTAAGGGTTGATTGTGCTTCACTTCCTTTTAGCATTTATCACCATCTTTTGTTGTTGTCAAAATTCTTGCTTTTTGAATGCAATCTGATCAGAAAAAAAATATTTCCAATTGGAAGAATTGACGATATTAAGGGAGTTATTATTTATGGATTTTTTAGTGAACTTATTTATTTATTTTTAATTAACAAAAAAGGGAAAATGAATTTCACGCCAAAAAATATCAACAAGCGCCACTATTGGGCCTCAATATATGAATATTTGCGAATTTTGGAGCACAGAAGTTATGACAAGTGATGCCAGATTATTAAATACAAATAGAATAGGGAGAAGAAAAACAAAAGTAGCGATAAACTTTGCGAATCAAAACAAACTGACAAACAAAAGAGTTTTTAGGTTTCAACAGATCGATAAACGACTTTTAAGGGTTACAAAAATTGACTTCAACTTAGGTGAACAGCTGCTAATGGCAATGCTAAGAGCGTTAATTTAAATTGTTTTATTTTTTATTTGCGACAACAACACATCGAAGAAAAATGTGATAAAATGACTAAATACTGTTAAGAGCAATCAGATTGTGGAGTGTAATACATGAATTTGCCTTAAATAACTGTGAGTAAATTAAAAGATTCATTAAGGCAACGCACAAGTTTTAACAACACATTACATCTTCAACTCATTTCTTAATTTATCGACAAAAAGTATATAGAAAGAAGTATAAATTAGAAATTTTAAAGTAATTAAACATTCAAATTACAACAAATTTATAGCATGTTTCCATTGAAAATCGAACAACGTTGTTCGCTCTCAGAATAAGGTACACGAATTGACCCGTTCATACGGCACGATTCGTAATTCATAGTAAAATGATTCCTTTTTTCAAAAATTTTGTTCGTTGATTTTAATGACAATTTATACGAAAATATATGAAATTCTCACTAATATGAATATAATAGAATGTTGTTTTTCTCCCAAAGACTTATTATATCATTAATTTTACTATTTTCATTGATGTTTTCAACTTTTTGTGTAAATGTTGACATTTTGAACATATTTTTGTATTTTTCTTTTTTTAATTCTGCTGGAGAGACACTTGTCAAACATTTTTCGGCCGACACAAAGATTTTGAAAATATTGATCCATTAGTTTGCAGTTTTCTGTGGAAATTTCAACTCGTGGACAAAATGCATACCTCGAATGAGAGAGAAAACCAAATGTACTTTCGTTTGAATGTACATATGCCATTCAAGATTACAGTTATCATTCATAATTTACAGTCTTCCCAAAAATTTTTAAAATTTCATCAAATTTTTCCAGTTTTAATTTTTAAATGTCATAATTTATTTTTTCGATAAATGCTCTCATTTGTTAGGGGTGGCACATATTTTTTCGTTGTTCTGAAAGTGATTTGATTTGAACAATGTACAAATATGAGTGTTCGCTCAGAAAATTTTGTGTGAAGAATTATGTGGCGTTTCCACTGCACTTGATTCGCTCTCTATTCGTTGTTTGACCCTTAACTATGAAAAAACTACTTAATTCTTCACACAAAATTTCCTGAGCGAACACTCATATTTGTACATAGTTCAAATCAAATCACTCTCAGAACAACGAAAAAGTATGTCCCATCCCTAAAAAATGAGAGCATTTATCGAAAAAATAAATTATGACATTTAAAAATTAAAACTAAAAAACTTTAATGAAATTTTAAAAATTTTTGGGAAGACTGAAAATTATGAATGAAAACTACAATGTTGAATGGCGTATGTACATTCAAACGAAAGTACATTTTGTTTTCTCTTTCATTAGAGGTACGCATTTTGTCCACGAGTTGAAATTTCCATAGAAAACTGCAAACAAAAGAGGCAATATTTTCAAAATGTTTGTATCTGCAGAAAAAAATGTTGACAAGTGTCTCTCCAGCAAAATTTAAAAATAGAAAAATACAAAAATATGTTCAAAATGTCAAAATTAATACAAAAAGTTGAAAACATGAATGAAAACTGTAAAATTAATGATATAATTATTCTTTGGAAGAAAAACAATAATTTCTTCTATTCATATCAGTGAGAATTTCATGTATTTTTGTATAAATTCCCATTCAAATCAACAAACAAAATTTTTGAAAAAATGAATTATTTTTCTATGAATTACGAATCGTGCCGTATGAACGGGTTAATTCGTGTACCTAATTCTGAGAGCGAACAACGTTGTTCGGTTTTCAATGGAAACATGCTATTACGTAGTTTTTCATAGTTAAGGGTCAAACAACGAATAGAGAGCGAATCAAGTGCAGTGGAAACGCCACATTACATAAAGTAAAAAATTACAAGAGAAAATCAAATTAGGGTTCTCTAGATCGATAATTGTCAGTGAGGGCTATGAAAATCGACTTTGTTGATACATTTGTCGCTAGTTGGCGCCAAAAAACAAACGAGAAACGGAAGAAGACAAATAAAGTAAAGAACTTATTTTAAAAGTATTCCTTTGAAGAAGTGTTTTGTTTAATCTACTTGAAGTGAACAGAAGCTGTTTCCAAGGTTAAAGAGTTATATATTCACAGTGAAGCGAAAGCAGTAAAAATAAGTAACAAAGAAGCGAATATCCTCTTTCAATGAAGTTAAATTTAAATTTAACTAAAGTGCTGATTTAAAAGGCAATGCTTTGACAAAATAATTTGTTTTATATTTTTCGTGTGAAAGAGATGAGGCTTTAACGGCAAATTGTAAAAGAATTAATAATTCACTGCAAAGTGATAACAGGGAGTAAGAGGCAACGAATTCCTTTTTTTACAGTAAATTAATGGCTATTTAATTTTAAATATTATTAACTTTTTATACAAAGTTAATCAAAGAGGAAACAATGGAGCCAGAACTGTATCTATGATCTTTCTTCCAACTGTTGCTTGTATATAAACCTAGATGGAATCCCATTGTAGAGTCGAGTGAGGTTGGTACAGCTCCGGTAGCTCTGAAAATGAGTTTGAACGGAAGTATAGTGTAATGTATCCTGGTCTAATCCTGGTAATTTGTATAGCTTAAAATAATGCAAATAAACATTATTAACCCTCAAAAAATATCTTTGGCAAATCATGATAATTATAACATTTCCTTACCCCTCTCTTTACAGACCCAACAAAAACGACGACTACATGGCATAATATGGGTGTACGTGCGACACTTTTAGATGCCAACTTGATTTAAATACTTCCACAAAGTTTCTAAGAACACTTTTATGTTTATCTTTGTTTTGTGTTTCTAACTTCTGTTTTTTTGCAGCTAGACAAGATTTGTTGAGATGTAACATGGAGAAATGAAAACGTCTATGTAGCAAATGAAGGACAAACGATGAACGGTCCCAATAAAAGAGAACTTGAACAAAGTTTTGTGCTAACAAATGAAATTAACGGAAGTGAAATAGAATAGAAGAGGCTTGCTTTGGTACATATGTATGAGATGTATATGTAGATACAGTGGGGTGGAGTGAATTTTGAGATAATATTTAAATATCAATTTATTTATTTAAAGTCAAATGGTTCTCTTTAAAATAAAAGTCCAAATGGATTTGCATTTTATATAGAAATCCAAATGGTCTTCTATATGAGATAGGAGATTTAAAGGTCTCTTATATTAAATAGAGGTTTACAATAGATATAAAATACCAAAGGGGTTTCTAGGGTTACTGGAAGATAAAAAATTTGTTATTCTCTATACAAGAGGAAATGATCATTAGAAGACCAATTCGACATAAAATGACCTACTTGATTTCATAGAAAATAAATTGAGTTTTTTATATTCTGCTTCACCCCATTACAAAAGTTTCCCATTTGTGACATTCATTACACACACAAGTACATGAATATAAATAACATAACAGGCGGCCATAAAATAACGGGCACAAAAAACAAGCGACAACGAATTATAACATCCAGTTAGAAGATGTATGTAAGAAGCGGAGAAAAAGAAATGAAAAAAAACATTTAGCAAAACACGTAGATATGTACAAGAGCAATCAATTTCGAAAGATTTATTTCTTGGTTTCTTCGTTTGTTTGTTTCTTTTTTTCCAAGAAGAATATGCTGCACAAATGGAGGACAAAGGAGACAGCTGGAAAAACAATGTTTGTATACAAGGCTCAAGATCTAAACTAATTTAAATATAAGGATGTATTTTTCAGGCATGCATGAATATTGAAATTGTGAAAGGTAACAAAGACGGAATTGAAGTTAATTCTAGTCTGTCTGTCTGGCGGAAATAATGTTATGAACATTGCGAACACACCGTACACACCAAATATAAGCGGATATAATTTTGGGTAATTAACCACGGGTTATTGTGAAATTTTGTTGTTTTCAGAAGTGAGAACTAAATTTTCGGATATCCGCAGGAGCTGGAATTTAAATGAAAAATCTAAGACAATTGTATTTTATGTAACCTCCATACGAAATCTTAACAGGACTCTATGTTTATTTTTATTAAGGACCTGATGAATTACCGAAGATTTGAAGTACTCGAACAGTTGTTATAGATCCCCATAGAAGATCATTTGCTAGGCTTTTATTCCATAAATACCTTTTAAAGAGACTCTATTTTAGGGAAGAGCTTTTGAAGGCTAGATTTACCATAAATTTTAAATTCTTTTTGGCGCCATCCTTTCAATGGCCTTCTACTATAAAAGACCCTTGGAAACATTGCAATATATAATATTGGTTAAAGAACTGTTTATTATATTTAAAATATCCACCCATAAGGCTTTTGAAGAACCTTCAAAAATACTTGAAAAATACCACGTTGTGAGGTCTTTGGAAAATCTGCAAAAATACTTTAAAGAATCTGCGTGGCCATCTTAAAAAAAAAAAAAAAAAACTTTAAAAAAATACACTGAAAACTACCAAAAAATTTTTTATGAACTTCACGTTGGGAATCTCTGAAAATTCTTTTCAAAATTCATGTTTGGGACAGCAACAATTGAAGTCACAGAAAACATTTTTCGCTTGTAGAGCATTCACCGTAAACTGATAACATATGAGTATATTAAGTTCATATGGCACGTGAGTCGCTCTCATAGTTGTTTGATCGCTAATTATTAAATATCTTCTTAATTTCCCCACACAACACAGGAGCTAATACACATTTTTATAAAATTCTTCAAAAAATACATGTTCATGATAAAAAAGGAAATGACAATATTCTAAATTTTAGAAAAAAAAAATGTATGAAATTTGTGATGTTAAACGACAGATGTACATTCAAACGAAAGTAAATCCAAATTTTGGAGTTTTGCCGAAGGTTTTTTATTTTCT